ATTTTATATTATTTTTTGACAATCTTTAAAGTCATTATTCAATACATTGTTATTGTTAAATAATCAAGATCTCAATTTCAGTGAAAATAATCGTGATTATCATTTTTGCCATAATCGAGCAGCCCTAGACCAAACTGTTCTACAGATTCAAATTTAAGCTTAAGGTACCATTTGCAAAAGGAATATTTCCAAAGCAGAGCTACATCAACAGATAATCATAGAAATAAACAAAATTCCATCTTGTGTAGGTGAATTTTGCAACTATATAGTACAAAAGTGTTTATCTTGCTGTAGTTGAGCTTTACTCCATGCTATTTCAAAGCAATTCATGCAAAAAGTGTGTCCTATTTTTGTAAGTGCCACATGAAATTTTAAACAGTAACAGATAAGCGATAGTGCCATTGAGAGGGCAGTTTGCCAGGGTTTTCACATGCTTTCTTTGGTCAGTTATGACTGCTGAAATCTTGCATAATGCGAAGTTCATATATTTATCCAGCCTACACGCAACATTTATTATTGATTTTCTGCAATTCCCTAAAGTCAGTCACCGTTTTCTTAAACGCTATCCTCCCCTCGGCACTATTTCTTGCCTTTGTAAGTCTATAATTTTCTGTATAAAATATAACTAATATGTACTGTAAATATCTATTTAGGAAATGCAAAATGAAATAAGTTCTTTTTTGGTTTGTTTTCTTTGCAAACTATTTGAGGATGTTAACATTTTCCTATAAACATTGTACAAACACATCCAGGAGAAAATGTTGGCTCCAGCTAACTGTGAGAAAGAGGCTGGAATGGTGGAAGGAATCAGCATGGACCCCAGGGACAGTACATCTCAGATGGGATCCTATCAGAGCCAGCCAGCACCCTACCTCAGGCCAGAGGAGACCCATCTGGTGTTTCTCCCTCGATGCCATTTCAATTAGTTAAATCAATACGCCGACATGGCGGCGTTAACGGCACAGTTTTTCCCTTTCTAATTGCATTTCATTCCACCTTCTGACCTTTTTCTGTTCTTTCTCAACTTTGTGGGCCAATTGAAGGGACTGGGCTGTTGGATTTAATGAGGCTGGCACTAAGCAAACATCTTCCTCGAGCGTTGTTGCTCAAGTTTGCCTACAGCACAGGGGCTTGGCATTTAGATTACATTCATTTTCGGCTTTGTGTATCTGTGTATTCTTATATTCATTTAATACCTCATGAAGAATGCATTGTGATCATCGGGACTGTGAAAGCCCGAGGCTCCCTGTACTCACTGCGCCGTGACTCAAGATGAGGCGAGTTTGGCCTGGTCTCGTTTCACCCAGCACAGTGTTTTGTTATAGACGACAGCACGGGAGGAGAACCACTCTGCAACGTCTGCATAGTCTGTGCATAGTCTTGGCACTGCCGTTTAAGCAGTACAACAGCCTCTGCAGGTGTTTTCATTTCTGCCGCTCATGTCAGAGCCAAGCATTTCCGACTTTCATAGTATAAAAGCCAAGGAAAAAAAAAAATCTTACCCTCACCTCTGAACAGGAGAATTACATATCCTCACATCTCAAGGAGACTAGATCCAAGATCTAATCAAAAAGGCAGATTTCAGTGTGATCCCTCTAACAGATTAAGAGTGTCTGTCTACATGAAGAAAGAATAGTATCTGGCCAGGTAATGAAGGAACAGGTGGTGGCAAGCAACAAGCACTGGATGCAAAGCAGCTACTCCTCACTGGTTGCAGAAAATCACAAGCTGACAAACAAACAGAATAATAACCTCGACCAGCATGACTCCTTTACCTGGAGAGAAAATGAATTTTCCGAATTTGATAAGGGCCAACAGGGAGCCTTCACTTTTGACAGGTACAACTAAGGAATTTGTCACAGGTTCAAAAACGAATCTAATTTCTTGAACAATGCACTTGACTTGTGAAAATCTCCTATATTGGATTTTGTATAGGTCACAAAATGTGTAGATGGAAAAATACACAATGGTAATTGAGGGATTAGAATGCAACTACACCGGTGAAATCGCATTATGCTTTTATCTCGGCATTATTGTGATACAAAGACGGCAGTGTTAAGTGTCTACAAAAAGGGAAAAAGACACGTATCGTCAATCCTTTACAGACACTTGAAAACAACAATAATAACAATGCAGTATAAAAACATTTTCAATAAAGGGAAAACTGGAATTTCAAAAAGCACTGTAATGATTGGCCACTAACTCACTAAGAACCATTCTTTCTTCACATTATTCACTAATTTTGAATAATAAGTAAGACTTTCACAGTTGTCTCAGCTTTCTAAATTTGTAACTGACTCAAAATTATGAATTGTGTATGTAAAAAAAATGAGAATAAAAATAAGTAAAAACGCTAAAAGAAGTTTGTTTGGTAATTGGATGAAACCATGTGGGCATTACTGTATGTGGCTGGATCGGTATGCACATTTTGTCCATAAATAACAAGTTTTACCTTTCATTTGTAAGGAGCACAAAACAAAACTGCACCAAATGTGGTACAGTATGTCAGTTACAAGGGTTTTTACCATGGATTTGTGTTTCAAGCTTTCTGTGTCGCAGGGACAGTGTTTTCTGGCTTGGTCTTATCTCTCATTAATCCAGAACTACATTATATTATCATACACATGCACACTCTTGTTTCTGCCAACAGTACCGAGCTCCACAGGTTCTGTCAGCCACACTGTGATACCAAACATGACAATGTCTGCAATTTGCTGGGTGTTGTTTGCCTGCCCCTGGCTTTGCCATTTGAAGTTTTGCCACCTGTGTCTCTGCAGCTTTATAGTAATTCAACAGCTGAACCGACGAGAATGCCAGTTCTGTGCTCAGTCATATTTTAACTTAATTTTGAAAGCACCTGCAATCTGCAATGAACATCAATTAAAGCTATGATCCAATCTATCGGCAGATGCCCTTAGGTGACATCCCTTGCCCTTAAGCTTCATTAAAGCCATTTGTTTTGGGCCAGTGTTTTTTGGTATTATTTATAGCACGTGTGTGTGTGCCAGGTAACACAGATGCTGTAGTGAGAACATTAAGAGGAAAAGGGAGACAGAGTGAGAGAAAAATCTTTGTTCAAGGTTCATCCAGACCTCACAGCTGGCAGGAGGCAGTGAGCAGAGCAACCCACTCTCTGAATCCTACCTCCTGTTAGTTAGTTGTTGACGACATGTGGCAGTAATATTATCCAAATTAACTGCATCCCCCATTGGTACCAAAGCCTTAGTTGGATACTAATGGCCACCTTGCCTATTAATCTGAGAGGAAGCTGGATTTGGGCAGAGGCGGACAACAGGTGCAGGGATAGAGGGAGAACGATATGGATAATATAGATTATTAATGAACAATTGGATCTCTTGATCTGCCTGTTTATTTGGGGCTCCATATGTTGCCTTGGACAGTTCATCTGCAACAGAGCTCAGGTTTGTTATTGACATGGTCTAATGCGACTGCATTTGTGAAACAAAGTAGACATCATACACAAACTGTGCAAAAGTAGCCAGCATGAGTTAAACTTGTTGAAAAAGAAAGAATAAAAAACATCCTTTTGCCACAGTCAATTATGTAAACTTTCTGGTTTCTCTACAAGATATTTTAAGTAAAGACAAATATTTTGATTAGAATCAAATTTCAAAAACAGTCCCAATATAAGTGCGATTGATCAATGCGCAACATGACCTTTTTTTGGCTCTCGACCCGCTACCCAGTGAATTTTGACACTCGATATATATATGCCACAATGTTGGTTGCACACTATATTCTCACGCAAAGTTAAAACATCTCCTCCACTTATTTCCCTTTTTCACTACTTCAATGTAATGCAAAATGAGGATGCATCAAAAAGATGTGTAAATTAAATCTGGCTTCCAAGACACTATCTGGCTGCCAGGAAGCATCCGTAAATATTTATGGCGGAACATCAGTGAAGTGTGTGAAAGTGCGGATGTCTGCCAGAAAGTGTGTGCATGCTGATGTGTGTGTCCAGCTGTGTAGTACCCAACACACACAGCACTGGTAGGGAGGTGCTTTGTAATTCATCATTTCTTTTACTTAAGCGTTCTTTGGTAACGTTGTTCAAACCTAACAGAAGCGTATCCAATTCATAACGAACTGCTATTTGACAAGAGTTACAGGTTTAGTGGTCTCATTCTTCAGCTAAAGGAATAAACACCAACTAATGCTATTTCAGACATTCATCTAACCAGTCTCCCACATTTTACCCAGTATTTACAATTCCTCGCATAGTTACATACGTGGTAATCTATATTCCAGATTACTTTCTATCCGAAGGATGCAAGGTCTTGCATTTGATGTCAGCAACTGTTGTTCTTTGTAATGAGTCAATGGGTGTATTGAGTGTTATACTTATGTCGATTTCCTATTTCTGTATAATTTTCAACATCAAGTTTTTTTGATGGTTTGATATAAATGAGCTTTTATAAACCTACACAAAAAATAATCTCTCTCTATCCTCATTTATGACCCACAAGACATTTAGGCAGTTTAGTCTGAAACTGTAGTTAGCCAGCAGTGCATAAAGTGTGATTGCAGGACTCTATAAAAGCATAGAGACCAGTTATAATGCTGTCTCTTATTACATGTCATGTTAAGCTAATGCAATTCAGTTTTGTTTTTATAGCAGTACCTCACAACAACAGTTGCTTCAAGGCATTTCATACTGCAAGGTAAAGACCCTACAATATTAGACAGAAAATCCCAGCAATGAGGTGTTCCTCTACAAGCACTGGGCAACAGTGGGAAGGAAAAACTCCCTTTAAAAAGGAAAAAGGCATCCCTTAAAAAAACCCACAAGACTGCACCCTGAGAGCAAAATGCTCTGTTAGTATAATATGATACTGTGAGGTCTTTAAGATATGATGGGGCCTGATTATACAAGACTTTGAATGTGAGGATCAACTTCTGGATTTAAATATGAGAGAAATATGATGCCTCTTTCTGGTCCCTGTTAGTACTCTAGCTTAAATATTTTGGATCAACTCAAGCCTTTTCAGGGATAAGGAATTACAAAAGTTTAATGTATAATTAACAAATGCATGGGCTAGTTTTTTGGAATCACTCTGACACATAGTGTTTAGAATTCTAATGATAATGTCTAGATAAAAGAAAGCAGTGCCACATATTTGTTTAATGTGCATGTTGAAGGATACATGATGGTCAAAAGTTACTCTAAGATGACTTGCAGTGAAACTTAGTTTCTTGGTATATTTGGTGATTTGCGTCATGTGACTATATATAAATATAAATGGATATCATCTGTATAGCTACGGAAATGTATGCAAAGTTTTCTAGTACTATTACCCTAGACAAGCATATATAACATAAAAATGTTTCAGTCCCAGCACAAAACCCTGTTGAACTCCATGTCATTTTATGTGTGAGAAAAAACTCCTCGTAGCACATTTCTTTTAATGCCAACAGTGTATTGTAGTCAATGTAGAAAAATAATGTGAACACCAGTACTGAATACTGCACTGAGACAAACTCTAAATCCTTACTGAAGCTCTTCAGATAAACTGTTACCCTGCAAATGATCACTTAGTTAACTTAAAACAAATCTTTTGAGAGCTTTCAAAATGAAAGAAAGACTGGAAATCAGCCCATAATTAGCTAATTCAGCAGGATCAAGTAAGTTTAAAAAAAATATTAATTCAATTACAGCAACCTCAAAAGCCCGTGATGCATAGCCTGTTAATAAAGATAAATTGATCATATGTAAAATCAAAGTACTAATTAATAGCCAGCAATTGTCACCTGAGGATTGGACTGCCAGGGCTCCGTCCCAATCACTACTGGGATCATCTGGAAATATAAACCCCTCCAGAATTATAAGGTGGTGATTTAGAGAGATTGGGTGAAGGGCTTGGCCATTTCAGAGGGCTCATCCAAATCGAACGGAGCCATTTAAGGTGGTTTAGGAATCTGACTGAAACTATTAATACTAAGAACTAAAGGAATACAAGGCTCAACATGAAAAGACACTGAAAAGACACAGTACAGAAAAGCCGAATGGCTCCTGCTTTCTTGAATGACAAATAGTAAAATTTCCTGCCTTTATGGAAGTAGCAGTCTATTTTTGCAGGCAATATAAATTAGTGGAATGTCATTTCCTCTTTAACATATGTGTTGTCTCCTTTAAGGAACAGGTTTTCTAAATAATAATAATAATAATAATAATAATAATAATGTATTTATTAACAATATGTTTTATTTATTTTAGCTTGTGCAGATAAGCATGGCTACATAATTGTACCTTAAAATGTAATGCTGCTTCTGTTACTCTCTAGATCTCACAGCCACTGCTGCTCCTCTTTGTCTCATGCTGGTTGAGAGAGGAGGGACCAAATTTGAGTATTATTTTATAAAAAGTAACCAAATATATTTCTGCTTTTTACATCTTTAGGCATTTTGATCTATAAATAAGCTTGGAAGGTGTATTATTATTGACAATGTAACATGTCCGCAACCCTGTACTTTGATAGATAATACCCATGGTTTGATGAGGAAATGTAAAGCCAAAAGTTAATGGAGGGGTGATAAACTCTAAGTGTCTCACAATATTATAAAGGACTTAATGCTGAAATGTCAGGAAGCAGTTAAGGAAGCAAAAGCAGCTTATTAATCTGACCTCATTTTGAAGATCCATCCTAACTCTAGGGTGCTTTTCAATATTATTGACTTACTTGTTAACCTCCCTTCTAGTCTCTGTAATGAGGCTTTCCATGATAAGTGTTTTCAAGTGTTTTAAATATTTAATATTCTTTAACAAAAAGTAGTCCCATGACAGGGACCAAGCTATCACTGTTAATAATTTGAGTTTGATGAGATGTTTTCAAGACATTTCTCCAACACCGTTTAAAGAAACTGACTTTCATCTATCCTCTTCATATTACAAATGATTCTGTAATCGGTGCATGCGTTCCATTTTTGCGGGCAGTTTAACCCTCTCAAGGCAGGCATTGCAGATTTGCAACAGTTAAAAGCTAACAACCTGATTACCCCACATACATATTTTATGAGTTTTTTTACTCAGAAGTACCACTGCAGGTATTCTTTTGTGCATTAGCAACAAAAACTTAATTTGAGCCTGAGAGGGTTAACTTGTGTAGTTTTTTTCCCCTTTGACTACAAAATGTTCACCTTGTCATAGGAATAGGATTGTGGATTCAGTTTTCAGTCCAGCCTATTTTTTCCTGCTATATAATACTAAAGAAAAGATTAATTTCAATGTAGATGCTAACTATGGGAATCATTTGTCAGTCAATTAGATTTCCAGAGACTTGCAGAATCATTGTAAAAAGTGCATTAAACGTACTCTGCACTGCACATGGTGGCCTTACTTACTAGCACCTTAATAATGGTCCGTGTTTTTTGAATGCATGATAGAGTTTACTACTATATAAAAAAAGAAAATGGAAATATGTTCGGAATTGAGTTTCAAAAGAGGTGCACATTATGCAGTGGGAGTAGTCATGTGGAAAAGAAAAAAACACTTAGTCAGTGGCTGCCTCTTGGCAGGGTAGAAAGTGTCAACAAGTTTACCAGTGTTGTTGTTTTAGACTAGTCTGCCTCAGTGATTTTATAGAACTCAGACCATAGGCAAAACAGAAAACAGTAAATATGAACAACCTTTGGAAAACTTTCACAGAAAACTGCTCGCATCAAGTGTAAAACACAATTGCTTGCAACTGTAATAAATGAACATGACAACTCATGGCAGCAATTATGACAGTACTTGTTATGAGCTTGTTACTCACAGGCATAGTCTGACCACCGTGCAAGCTGTTGATGGCGGCCTGTGCTTCTGCATGGCTGGAGAACTTGACAAAGGCACAGCCTGCACAGACAGAAAGACAGAAAGAGAGGAGAGGCGGGGAGATCAGCAGGATGGCCTTGAATACCATTGTTTTCATGTTATCTGGTTTGTAAATATATTCTGCCACTTGTGTGTTGAGTGCATAACTGAATAAATCAAGCTAATTGTACTAAAGGCATTAGCTGCTTGGAACACCCTGTCTCTTGCCCATTTCTAATTTGACCCCCACCACTTTAGAGCATGGAGCCAAGGCATTTACTATCATGACTTGTTTGTGATTATTAATCTGTTTAATATTTACACATTGTGATTTGTGTGCAGTCACTCATAAAAGAGATTATGATGACAAAGGCATGGCATTATAATCTGCCTATCTAACCGAATCTTTCCTCGAATATAATTTGAGATGAGGGGGTGCTTTGCTCAAGGGACATTCAAATCATCTTAAATCTGTTTTGTAGTTAATACACAAAAGAAAAGTCAACAAAAAAGCTGGCCAGAAGACAAGGAAGCAGGCTTCGGTAGCATTACTCTGGAGCCACATTGCATTGAAAATTCAAATAATATTAAAAATAATTTAAGTACAACGTAAGTTTTGGAACGCTGCGCGACTAAAGCGTATCTGTTAGTATGGTCTCAGTAAGGACACGCATTATATTAATATCATAAAGGGAAAGCTGGTGAGCTGAAATGCAGTGGAACTGAAATGTGGTAATTTTGCAGAAAGCCATTAAATGAAACAAGAGCTATTTCTCTAAGCTTTATGGTTGTCATAGACTGCACAGGGTATTCTGTTATGTCCTATTCTTATCCTTGCCTTCAGGTAGCTCATGTGTTAAGTCAAGAGATACCTAATTAACAAACTCATGGATTAATTCTCCCCATTTTTTATTAATTGAGTAGCAGCAGTGTCAAAGAACCAGACAGGCTTTTCCTGGGTTCAATCCCTGGTTTCTTGTGAACTGCAGATATCGGTTTTAAAATAGTTACACACATTCATATATTCATTCTACATGACCAAAGGAGTGATGATTCTTTTAAACTACAAACACTAATAGGTAGGCTCAGGAGCTTTTTTGTGTCTGGCAGCAATCCATTCACTTCTACCTCTCAGGAGTCAGCTTTGCTTTCCCAACAAACAAATTAATAATTTACTGACAAAATCAAATAGATAGAACTGTGGCAGGACAATTTCCACGTTTACCTCGGGCTTTGCACACACTTTCAAGCCATACAATAAATTGTTAGCACGTGAAACCGTTATGTGTGAAAATGTGGTGAGTAGTAAAGGCCATGTGTTCTGTACTGTCAGTGTCCTCAAAGCTGTATAGATCTATAGAGGCAAAGTGATAAGTCAAACAAGCCCTTGATTCTGTCATAGCATTCTAGCACCCTTTTATTTCACTTGAACCCCCCTCCGGGAAGTGGCAGGAAAGGTCTTCATTTGTCCAGCTGAAATACATCAACTTACTGTGTACCATTTGACTGTAGCTCTGTCTTTTGGAAGAATAAACACATTTAACCTTTGTAGCTTAAATAAAAAGGGATCCGCTTTTTCTCGAAAAAGCCTTCTAGTTTTCTAAGGCAAGATAACTCGCTGCTTGTTCCCTAACAAGGCCAGCATATATTGTGCCAGGGTCACCGTGATCCCAGCAACGTAGCCCAGACAGACCAGACTCTTAACTGCGGGGCTTGCATACACCATCACCAAAGTCATGCTGAACATACAATGTTGTCAAAATTTCTCATCAAAAAATAGTCTGTCGCTTTGCTTTTGCTGACCTAAAAAAAAAGTAAAGGGACACGGAGCACAACAACTCGAAAGAACTGGGAAGTGCTACAGCCTCATAAATTATAGTGCACTGTTGGGTTTTTGAATTTGATGGCTCAGAATGAGTTGGAGAAAAAGGAAAAAGAGAGATTGTATTGCTTTCAAGCGAGAGGATCTGCACTGCCTTTTGAATTCCCGGGGTAATAATATGTATGCATGAATTCCATCCCTCTGGATGGGTGACATTTATAACACAACTTAATTATAGACCTAAAAGCCATCTCTCTATTATTCCTGACAATTCGGGGCTCTATTCAACTCTGGCAGCAAGTGTTGCACTTTGAAAGTACTTTGAGAAGCAGCGCCATAGAGAGATGGATGTTAAACTTCTCGGCCTTTTTATTGGGTGAAGAGGGGTGCTGAAAAGCCTCTGAGTAGCATAAATTTACATCAACAGGGGACAAAGCCTCTACCATGGAACAGATAGCACTGTCAATTTCAAGGTCTGTCTCATTCAAATTACGGGAACCTCATCCCGAGCGAGGCGCCTGGCAAAATAATTTGCCGTAACATCCCGTAATGATTGCATACGACTGTTGCACGGTGACTGATAGGCCCAGATACCTACATATGAGACCTTTGTCTGGTGGTGGCATTCATAGTTAACATTACTTTACAGTTTCCATTTCATAGCAGTGAAAGTTGAAGAGAAATGAATGATCAAGTCTGTGATAATAGAGACAAATAACAAAGCGGGAAAGTATGGCATGTGAAGAGAGACAAAGAAAGAGTTGAGGTGTGGGGTGCAGGAGGGTGAAAAGAAGTGAAAGCACGAATGAGGGAGAAAACTAGCTCCTGTCTGACACAGCAGCACCGGCCTTATTTCATTTTATGTGCTGTCAATCAGCTTGAGGCATCTGAGCAGACAGAAAGAGAGGGAGTCAGATAAGAAGAAAGAGACAGCAAAAGAGGAAACAAGGCAGGGAGAAGGAAAGGTACTGGGCTGCTGGGGCAATGCAGAGCAATAGACCCGGGATTAACAGTGAGGGGAACAGATGTAGACACAGATAGGTGTGTGGTTCAGTATAGCCAGGCTTTCTCTTTGATATACTCAGAAGGCTTTGCAAGATTATCATCCTCTCTCTTTTGCCTTCCCACACATCTCTCACACACATTCAGAAGCTTCATGTAGAAGAATAAATCACAGTCAACAAAAAGAAAAGATGGTAGAGGTTCAGCGCAATATCGTGGGCTTTATTGCTCCAAATTTGGCTGTGAGAGCGAGAGAGACCCATCAAAATTTGATTAGGAGCCTTTTGCACTCTGTGAACAATCACACCTTCATCACATATTTTACAGCCATCTTTAATTTGAACATGCTCTGCTAACCAAATATCATATAAGCCACGGACAAAAATGCATAAGCTGTTCCCGAATACAGGCAAATCTGCCGCACAGTGAGTGACAGCAGCAAAAACCCAGAGCCTGGCTGCTTTATTTACAGTAGGGCATTATTGTCCAATGGTGTCTCTGGGGAGGGATGATGGGAATGTGGGAAACAAACATGATTACACCCCTCTGCTTTTCAGATAACAGGAAGAAGGGGAGGAGGAGAGGGGTGAGCAGAAAGACGAGGTGTTGTGTGATGTATTTGTTGAGTACAAGCACAGGGTGGAGGGGAGCTGCCGTGATGAAGAGACAACATGAGAAGAAGTTCGGGGAGGAAAGAAAAAAGAAGCGAAAGGTGACATGAGGACAAAAGAAAACAAAATACAAAAAGTAGTGAGAAAAAGAACGTGGGAGGAAGGATGTGTTGAGGCACAGTGACAATGATGTATGAAAGGTACGCTTGTACGACATATAAAAGAGTGGAAAAAAAAACAAAAAGGGAGGATTACAGACAATGTCAATGAGTGCACCATGGGTGAAGCACGGTGCTAAAAATGTAAGGAGTAGAAAGTGAAATAGAACACAAAGACAGAAGGACTAAGAAAAACGGAAGAAGGGGGTAAAAAAGAGTTGGAGGTGTGTGGGCTCTGACCCTTACTGGCCCCATCAGGCCCTCGGAGGACGGTGCACTCCTCAATCTGGCCGAAGGTCTCGAACAGCCGCCGGACATCATCCTCACTTTGCTGCTTGCCGAGCATCCCAACAAACAGCTTCCTGTCTTCTAGATAGGAAGAGAGAAAAGGGAAGGAAGAGGGTCGAGGGAGGGTGGAATAGAGGAGAGAAGAGAGAAATGGTACAGCTGATGGCACCGTTCTGCAGAGCTGAAAGGAACTTGTGCAACTCAAACCCCCCTTTTATCAGCAGTCTGCTGTGTTGTTGTGGCTGCTGCTGCTGTTGTTATTGTTGTTGATCTTATTGTTCTGTGGTGTGCCACCCCACCCTGGTATGAGGGAGATATATTCTTGTTTCCAGTGAGCTATTCAAGTCTGCCACAGTGATGCTTGATACAGATGACGCTTGGAGCGGTGTGGGTTTCAGGTAGAGGTAGAAAGAGAGCAGGAATGTTTTGCTCAGCTAGAGAAACTGTCAGATCGCCTGGTTGCAAACTTGAAAGGGAACACGGTGCAAGAACATGTTATTACATTTTCTCATCACCAAAGCCATAAGAATTATATTACACATGAGTAAACTCTATGTCAAAAGTCGCCAATGAATAATATGAAAAAAGATTTTTATATTTTAAAGGTCTTTCTTGAGTGTTTTTCATTGTGCACTATTCATTGTTTTCTCTACCAGTTCCTGTTTATTTGTACTATACTTAAAAGAAAAAAAATGACGATTCAGCTCATGATATTTTTTCACCATGAACGATTCTTAAGTTTGGGAAGCTAAAGCTATGAGACATTAAGAATTAAAAAGAATTAAATGAATAAATAAGATCACATTCAGTGATAGCGCCCATTAAAACAATGGCAATTAGTATGATTTTATTGTGAATAATTTGAATCACAGGTTCCTATATTTGCCATTTTTCAATTTCATTTAATTTCCCACAAATAAGAACTGGTACAAGATAAATTAATATAGCACAATATATAGACAGAATTGGTCTCCTTAAAATGAATGAACACAGTACTAAACACAGCAGAAAGTACTGAAATATATTTCTGTTGATGCTGTTGTGGTGCAATTAGATAGTCTCTTTCATATTACTGCCCAGAGTCAGCTGGGATAGACTCCAGCCCCCCACGATCCTGAACTGGATAAATGGTTGAGAAAATGGATGGATGAATGGAAAATTAGGAAATTCAAAAAGACCGATGCCAACTGCAGAAAAAATGAAGCTATCGTATCAGCACTAGACATGAATCATGGAACGATCAGGGCATCAGATCTATCAAACTGTTTGTACAAAGTAAGAAAAAAGTCCTGTGTGAATGCTAATAATAATAATAATAATGTGAAACAATCCTGACTGTACAGTCAAAACCTTAAATCAAGCACGATTTAACATCTTTATCATCAAGCATTTCCTCAGCAAATTTATTGGATTCTCCTTATTACATTTGAAGGGCAACTTCACCTAGCAGTCTCACTGTGCCCTAGCTGATATCCAGAAGGAGGCACTCACATTCACATGTATAGGCTCTATACCACTAAACTTTAGCCAGTCAGAAAGCTGGATTTTTCTAATTAATCTTCCTGGTGCCCTGGCATTAGACAGAGCATTCATCTTCTTTACATCTTTTACATTATGCATCTCCTATTCCACCGTGTTGTGGAATGAAATGGCTACTAGCAAGAACCTATCGCCAGAACTGATGGAAAGTGGCAGGAAGAGGAAAACGAGTTTATTGGAAATGACACTGTTGATCTTCAACGTGAGTCATTTGACTGGTAGGGGGCGGGTGAGGAGCGAGGAGGAGTGGAGGGTGAGAGCATCACCTGGGCCTCAACAGATGTGACGCCTCCTGTACCTGCCAGGCCCCATTAGACGCAGCTGTTCTAAAAATAAAGCACCAGGGCTTCCTTTTTGCAGCGGGGAAATCGGATCCTGTTCCATTCCTGTAAAGTTCAAATGAGACACATGCCTGCTAGCCGCTTGGCCACACAAATGAGCACCTGCATAATCAATAAGGCCACGGTAGTTGGTCTCCACTGCTGGTGTTGTAGCAATGGTGCCAGTTCATGTTCCTATAGTCACGCCTTGCACAGTAGGATTTCTTCAACCCACCAGCTGAGTCTGAATTTTTTTTACTGTTCATTAATGTGTCTCCCCTGTTGGACCTCTAGGGTCGGAAATGAGAGACAGCCCTGAGGAGATCACCACAACGACTTACATCAACTGAAATTTAGCAATGACCAAAAGGCGTAAAGACGTCTAGGATGGTTCTGGGAATCAGTCAGTCATTGTTGAACAGGTGGTAGAGAGTGAAATGGGATCAACCCCTGTCAATGGCACCAAAGGTGAAAGTGGTACACGTCCAAGAGACTTTGCCATGTGTGTCCCCTCCATCTTTCAGGTTTTTACTGAGGTGTCACAGTTACAACTTAAATGGGCAGAGTGCAGTTTTACAGGCCTCCTGCAGTGTGTTAATGTTTTGGGACAAAAGTCTCATCTCGGCCCTGGCCCGAGGAGATCTAATGGCGGCTTTACAAGGCTAATTAACAAGCCATGAGCGAGGTAATGAACTTTCCAAATGTGCTGGCAAACGCAAAAATAAATTACACCCCAGTGAAGGCATTAAAGGAAGTGTGAGTGTACTTCTGAGCCTTCCTTTGGGAGAGCCACAGTGAGAAAATGAATTTGGAGCTGCTATCTTTTCATTGCCTGACCTAAGTGTGTCTCAGTCGGCCCACTGCATGCCCTGGCCAGTGTATAGATTGCTATTAATTAGTCCACTTTGCACCTGTCTCCAAAGCAGCTCTTATTGGATTTTGCAAGTTCCCACTCATCTCCTATGGCCACTCGCAAGCCTTAAATTGGCATTTTATGAATATGAATAAATATCTCGTAATGCACCCTCTGCACAAGGAGATGATTCCATGACTCTAAATGAGTCCAATGAGTTATCTGTTAAAAGTGGCAAGCGGAGGAAAAAAAAAATACTCCTGTGTAGTAGTCATGTATTTGCATTAAGAGGGTCAAGGACTTTCCAATGGAATTGACTGAGATGACAAAAGTAGGGGGAAAAAATCATTACACTGACTGACCTCTTTGTATTATCTCTCATTGAGAGTGGCTCATCTTATCCTTCTAACGGAGATGAGCCACACAGCTGGAGAACATTTGTGCTCTACAACACTTCTCTGCTCTTCTATGAAGAGACCTTTGTAATCTGTTCTTTAAACAACTACTTTAATATCTTGTACAAATGCATGCATTGTTATTAAGACATGTATTTACATAATTTAAATCACATTTAAATAATACTAAAACACGTCTTAAATGGAAAGCTAGATTCACAGATACATATTTAGCACTTTTCCACATGCTTGTTAGCATTCTTGCCCTTTTGGCGTATGTGTATACTTGTTGTCATGTGATCAGAGGTAAATTGAGGTTTAGTTGAGTCCACTATCAGTGCACACTTGTGTCCTCTAACACACACTGTCATTCCATACATTTTTGTTTTCCTTTTTCACCCCAACACTTGACTGGAAGTGGGAGCAATTGTGTGGAAAATGGCTCCATGTCAGTCTCCAGCCATGTCCACAGTAAGGTGGCATGTGGACAGCTCCATTTCATGAATGCAAATAAAAAGGGAGATGAAAAAAAGTTATCAAAACACCACTGACATCTGACAATTGCTTGTCTCAGGAAGCCTTTTCATTTCAGCACCCGGTATATTAAAAATTAATGGATTTTGCACAGATGCCATATGCTGTCAGGACTGATGCTTCTCTCTCAGGAATAAAGTGCTACTTGTGTTGTAGGCTGCAGTATATGCATATAGATTTTGTCTTTTCCCCTTTTGTCTCTGTTGCTCTCCGTATATATTTCTCTTTACCCTTTATTGTCATCCCTCACCCTTGCCTGTCTCCCCAGGCAAAGAATCAGTTGCTCTGAAGTCTACTTTTCAAAAGTTTCTGCTTTTGTTTGCCAATAACGTGAATATTCTCTTTAAAGAATTACTCTCTTGCTCCTGTGTAGTGGTAAATATTTCTTTTTTTTCCACAGTTCTATCACTTATTGCCCGTTGGCAGTATAGTCAGGGAAGCTTGCTAGTTGTAAGTGTTCAGAAAGCACGGACAGCTGCATCCAACGATAAAAGATGCATGCTAGTCCGCTGGGTGCATTTCAAATGCAGAGTAATGTTCCAGGCAGCACAACAAAGAAGTTGTGCTTCTTATGGACTCATTAGAAAACCCTGATGCTGGTACGCTGCTGCCTGGGAGGCCTGCCACCAGACACGCTCGCATATGTAGGCGTGCAGACTGGGTGCACAAAATGTTGGGAACTGCTGCTTAATATAGAGTTAGACTTGGTTTGTAATCATCTGTGTATTTCCCCGTTGTGTAAATGCTACAGGGGCATGCCTGAAATCAAAATTGGCCATTTGCTTTCAGAATAAGCATTTTAGATTATTAACATTAAATATTTATAGAACATGGAGGGAAAAAAAAATCCTAAATAGTGACTTGTTAGATACATTCACTGTTTTTAAAGGTACCATTTTCTTATGTAGCTGTGTTTTAACTCTCTAATAATACTTTTATACCCTTAAAATTTCCGTTGAAGTTACATAAGGGACTAATACAAATTCACCTTCTACAACTTTTCTAGTTACTTTCTCAGTGCTACTTTTTAGAAGTTAATTAAGTACATAGTAGACCTGTTATTAAAGAAAAATGTATAACTTACAATCTTATAGAGATAAATCAACGTAAGTAAATAGGCATGAATTAAAAAAAAAAAAAATACAGGCGAAATTGCTACACATCTTAGAGATACAGCTCAATCTTCCTATACCATGCTGCCAGGCAATATAAGGCAATGTAACTCCCCCACCCAAGATTACAATTACTAGTCTTGCTGACATTCCAACATTCCAAATGTTTTTGTGTTATGGATATACTTGCATTTTAATAACTTACTATTTTTTAGATGTTACATACTTTGCCTTGCCCTCTTCTGGATTTCTTGTTATGGCCGATCATCCAGGTCCCGAAGCAGCAAAGAAGCCCCAGACCATCTTATTACCGCCACAATGTTTGAGT